ATCCACTCCAGCAGCTTACATGAATTCATAAACCCCAAGCAGAATGATTCTAACGGTTCATCATGTCCTAAATAGATAGTACTAACTCGATCTAGTCAAGTAATTCATGTCCAAACTGGCTTGCCGCTTAACATGCTTATCCACAAACAAAGTAACTATAGCAATGGACGATAAATTCCTTTATGTAATTGTATGCGCAATCCGACAAGCAATAAACGTAGAAACATCACCTTAGTCATAGGGACATATATAAGGGGATGAACAGGCATTTATATAGTGAATATCAACTCCCCACTAACTAAGGTCACTTGCTAGATAGTCTATGTCCCAATATATTGCTAAATCCATATCACTTGGCCGATGCCGCCTCACTACCAGTTCCATTTCGTTCCTCCGTCTGAAGACCAGCAAGAACTGCCCTCTCGGCAGCTGTGCCCTTATGGGCAGTAATCTTACACAGCAGAGGCAAAACCGAGGCAAGAATCGCACCCGCGCCGAGGAAAGCAGCCGTGACACCAAAGCCAATGTGATACTCTGGCGAGTCCTTCGTAGGCCAGATTCGACTTCCATAGACACTAGAGAAATTTCCGAAAGCATTGACGAGCGCAAGGACGATGGCGCGCTTCTCTGGAGGCAAGCTGACTGTTGCGCTGGCCCACGAGAGAATCAAAGGGAGTGCTGACCAGATTCCAGAAGCCACCAAGCAGATCATCACGTATCGCACGATGGGGTTCTGAACAGCGGCACAGACGACGCTGCCGACGCAACCAAGGACAAGGGCTGATGTGATGTGCCAGCGGCGTTCGATGTGGCGATCCGATGACCAGGCGACAAAGATGAGCACTACAGTAGCAACGGCGTAGATGGGCACCGTCATGTACTGAGCTTGAACGGAGGTGTAGCCAAGCGTCTTTGTGATTGTCGGGATGAAGTAGGAGATTGTTCCTGCGCCGACATCGAGCATGAAGAGGACGATGAAGATGTAGGTCCTGGGATCGGAAATGGCAGCAACGAATGCTTGCCAGTGGGTGAGTCGACCGCTGAGACTGCTTGTCGAGGCGAGACCATCAGCCACGATGCGAATCTGAGCTAGTTGACGCTCCTGTGGGCTGAGGCGCTTTGAGTTATGAGGATAGTCAAGCAACACGAAACAAGCAATGATACCAACACCAACAGTGGCTACACCCTCGACGATAAAGAGCCAGCGCCAACCAGAGATACCATGAGCATCGTGCAGCCCAGATGTAATACCACCAGCAAGCAGACCACCAAAAGCACCCGAGAGCACCGCAGCAGCGTAGAATATGGCAAACCGCTTGCCGAGCTCAGCACGCGTATACCACGAACTAAGAAGGTATAAGACACCTGGGAAGAAACCAGACTCGATGCAGCCGAGGATGAAGCGGAATGCGAGGATGGTGCTGTAATTCTTGCTGACGGCCATGACGGCGCACAAGGAACCCCAGACGACCATGATGCCTGGGAGGAAGAGCGAGGGCCGGCTTCGTGAGAGGATCATGTTGGAGGGGACTTCGCAGATGAGGTAGCCGAAGAAGAAGATGGAGAGAACCCAGGCATACATCTCATCTGTAAGTTTGAGGTCGTCGCCCATCCCGGCGATTTTGGCGTTACCCTATTAAAGCATGTAAGTCAGTATGTGTGTTGAAGTATCCAGCCGATGATACTTACAATGTTGGTACGATCGACGTAGTTCAGGATGTACATAACCCATAGAATGGGCATTAGGAAGAGATCGATCTTCTTGACGAGCTTCTTCTCCTCTGGGCTGCCAGGGGTGTAGTTGCTCAGAGCGTCGGACAGCTCTTGCGAGATGCCGACTTGTTCATGATGCTCCCCAGTCTTGGACATTTCCTTCTCGAGGCTCATGTTGCCAGTCTCTGTGTCGGAAGACTTTCAGAAGGACGGGCTGTCTAGCCAAGCGTTCAAGGTTCGAAGACAAGAATGGTACGTTCTGGGGTAGTCCAAGAGTCTGGAGAAGAGGTTTGGAGTACAGGGACAAAGATTGAAGCAAACGAGATAGGGCCACCAACGACCTTAAGTACGAAAAGCCACCCGCAAGATGATCCCTAGCTGATGCTACGCTATAAACCTGGGGAACTAACCCGAAAACCATGGGTAAGTGTTCAAACTCAATGTGGATCGCCCCCATGGGGTAAGGTCCGCTGTGGTCCGGGGCATGAAGACAAGGGAGGAGGAAAGATTCTAGACTGTTGTTCAATGGTGCGGCGTACAGACCGCTCTTAGGCATGGCTTAGAGCGGTCTTCGCGCCGAGTGGAAGATGCAGTTCGGCTTGGCGAGGGGCTAGCTAGTCATGCGTCGAAGCGGGGATAGACTAGACAATCATCTGGGGTGAATGGCAGATATTGGTCTTGTCGATTATTGTGTCTGTAATTCATGACTCTAGAACTGAAACAGGCGATGGTCTACACGATTACTCTGCCATTTGTGATCCAATGATCCCGAGCAAGTCTCCCGGATAGTATTCTAGTCCCATCCCAAGCTGATCCCCCATCATCCAACCGTAGCTCAGATCCCAATCCTGCTGTTGCGCCGGTCGCGAGTCTTGAGGTACTTCCAACGTCCTACTGTTGAAAATTTGCGGTATGAGCACCTCGTTCGCCGATTCTCCTGATTTAAGCTTGTCAAGCATCGTACTAAGCCCCTGCCCAATGTAATGTGCTACATGTCTTGCATAGGCTTGTGTCGCATTGAGCATAGATATGATGGGGCCGACGAGGTTGACTACGTCGTCTACCGAGAGGTGTACGACAACAGCTCGCCACGATGAACAGACTTTGATCAGAAAGATGGATGAGTATGCGATCGTGGTCAGGAGGTACAAGGGGACTCCCACTACGGCGCGGCGCATATCAGAGTCTTCTAGGATTAAACGCAGTGCAGCGCATGCGCTTTCTACGGCGGTGTTGATAAAGTCTTGTCTCTCGAGAGAAATGAGATAGCCATCGGTAGGTTGTAGACCCTGTAGACAGACAGAGAAGAGAAGTAGTCGGGCGAAGTGGTAGTGCAACACAACTCCTTTCCTGGGGTAATCGCCAATCTGCGGATCGCATCCTGTTGCATCACATCAGCTACTGATACACTCCGAGAGATGTTTCCCAGCCATATGAGATAACGTACCTAGCTCGCCTAGTCGTGCCTCCCAAGTCTGCTTCCACTGCCCCAACTCGCCATTGTAGCGCCGTATCGCATCAAACTCATCATTCGCTACCACCCGTGATCTATCCAAACCAAACGTCCTATAAGTTCGGCTAAGGATTATGAAAATACTGACCTGACTATGGAGCCGCACGTCAGTGCCCTTGGCCCCAGGCAGTCCAAGGAATCCCTCATGATTGATCAAAGTCACATCCTCAGCTATCACAGGCGGTCTCCCGTACGCAATGCTGAAGTGATGATCACAAACATAAAGCAGATACCACAGCCTCGCCTTCTCGCAATGCGAAGTCTCCCCGCGTAAAGCCCTGGCGCAATGCTGGTGAATGTTAAGTTCCGTAGCGATACGCACAGCAAGGCCGGAAAGTTTCCAGCTTAGGTCTGAGAACCAGAAGGCACCTATGCAGAGACCCCGGATGTCGTCTAGAGTGTGGTAGCGCTGGAACATGGCCTGGCTGGCGAGCTCAGCGAACACGACGTAGCAGCGGTCGAAGCTCTGACCATCGTCTTGGGTGTGGAGGGCGGCTACGGCTAAGATGGCTGCGACGAGGAGTGAGGATGATTCCCTGGCTGATGAGAGGGTATCATGGACGAGAGCGACACCACCCCAGAGATAAGCATTGAGGGTGCCCTGAAAGGCAGCAAAAAGACGTTCTGCTTCTGGAAGAGTGATTCGTCCTTGAGAGATGAAGTCCGGTTGGCGATGGCGATCCAGAGCTGCTCTGCCGTCACAACTGGGATCGCTTCTGATATTGCGCAGCTTGGTCGCTCGAAAGAGACTCACCATAGGAGCATCCACAATGACGCCGTCATCTTTAGAGGCGCTATGGGTATCGGGCGAGTTCTCTCTCGTCATGGCAGTCAAATGAGGCGTTGGAGCTGTGAGACGAGAGACAGTCTCTGGAGAGGTGGTCGCGAGCGCCATCTGCTGCTGGGTCGATTGCAAGCTGTCGAGTTTTGCTTTCATGTCTTCCATGGACGCGCGCATGGACTCCATCTGTTGCTCCATGGCCTTTTTCCAGTCATATTCCCCTTCTAATAGATCTTGTAGATTCTTGTTAACGACGCAGTCGAAGCCATTCTTGGTGCAACGTATGCATTTCGGGGCCCCATCCTCTGTAACGCAGCGAATCTTGCGTGTATGACATTGCTGACCTATTGGGTTTTAGTTAGGTTCACTATTCCTATGACTGCGGAAGCCAGCTTACAGGCTCGGATCTTTCTCGACACTTTGGATCCACGAATGGCTGAGTCCGAAGCGTTCCCCGGCCCGGACTCATCCGCTTCGAGGCCAGTGCGGGTTCTCTTCATAGCAGCTGTGTTCTTCTCCACGGGGAAGTTTCAAGTATCTGGAGCGGCTGACAGTCCGGGGGAAGGGGACGACTCGCTCGGTATGAAGACCGCGGTGCTGGGGCAGTATGTATATCACGAAATGGGGCGAGGTGAATCGAAGACGGCTGGATGACCGCGCTGTATCTGGGAGTAGTTAGCGCTGGTTTCGGCATGGACCAATGAGTTGTTGGAGGGGGTGCGGACTTCGTGCCGCTTTCGCCGCCCTGAAGAGTGTCGCTAACCCTATCGGGACAGAATTGCCTGCCGAGTGGATATGCCGTTGTAAAATCACCTGTAAACGTAGGTATGTATGCAACGTAAATGCAGGGCTTGCTTGTGCTGAGAGGGAGGGCAATTGCTGGGAATGGGCGGCGAGGTGGCTCGACGACTTATAAGGGCGATGCCGTTGCTCATGCTGGTGAAAGTCGAGGTATCGTCTATACCACAACACAACACAACACAGCCAACAACCATGTCATCTCATTCTTCTATTGGATTTATCGGGTTCAGCCCAGAAAAGGCTAAGATTGCAGAAACGTTGCAATTGTCTCACTCTAGCGCAATCCGAGTATTTGATGCCTCCTCAAAAAATGTTGAGCTCATTGGAGCCGAGCATCTACAGTGTTCAGACTCACTCCATCATGTTGCCCAGCACAGCCAAATTATCTGGATTGAGGAGAAGGACGCAGAAACTTTGAGCGACATGCTCCTAGGATCATCCTCTGGTCTTATACATTGTATGTAACGAAAAGAGTACTTACATGGCACGTCTCGCTGACCAACTCAAGCATTGCCCAAAGACGCATCTCTCATGCTCGAATGCCTCGCTCTGCCACATTACTACCAAGACCTAGCCTCTCGCTTCACTGAAGCTGGTCGGCCTGATCTCAAGATCATTGACTGCTCTGTCGTCGCATCAAGCACCAGAAGCAGTAACAGTATGACCAAGAGCGCCATATGGATCTCAGGTTCAGAAGCCGCCATCGAAAACGTATCTTTCTTGTCAAAAGCTCACGATAACGTGCATTTCATCTCCGGTGGTCTTGGATCAGCGAACAAACTACGTTTGACAAGCTATTTATTGGAGGCGACGCATGCTGTCACGGCTGCTGAGGCTACTGGTCTTGCGTCAAAAGCAGGCATTGACTCTAATGAGATATACAGCATCATCATCAACGCCGCAGGTAATTCCTCGGCGTATGAGGAGCTTGTACCTCATATGCTACAGGGAAATTCACATCTTCAGCCGTCGATAGAGTCGCTGTTACATAAAATTGTAAGTTTTTTCCATGACGGCCGTGGTGACAGAGACGCAGTTGCTTGTTCAAACTGGATGTACAGCTCGCTTACACAACATCTAGAACATTGTCACGTCTTCATCAAAGAGTCTCAACTTCCCTTTACCACTATGCTCTGCCAGTGAACAAGTCTGCCTGTTCGCCTCCGCCCAGGGATATGGCCTCGAACATGTCTCCAGCCTAGTCAGACTGTTCAAGTCGCAACACCAGAAGGCTACGCCAATTGACGCAATTGACAGCCATGCAAGCAAACGTGCCATAGACGTCACACCACCAAAAACACCGCCATCTGTGTCCACAATTGGCATGGTTGGCTTAGGGGCAATGGGCCAAGGGATGGCGCAGTCCCTTGTAAGGGCCGGCTTCTCTGTGCAAGGCTACGACGTTTGGGCCCCCTCAGTCGAGAAGTTCGCAGCGAGTGGTCCGAGCGGTATGTCCATCGCAGCCTCTTCACCAGCCGATGCTGCCAAGGGCACGTCTGTGCTTATCCTTATGGTTCAGAATGCTGTGCAGGCGTGGGATGTGCTGTTTGGCAGTGGCAAGGCTGCTGAGGAGCTGTCAGATGGAGCGACAGTGATACTCAGCTCAACTGTTCCACCGTCTGAGGCTCGCCGTATTGGCGATAAGTTGGAGTCTCTGGGGAGGGGTCTCAGTCTTGTGGATGTACCTGTCAGCGGAGGTGTTGCTCGTGCAGCAAAGGGTGATCTCACGGTACATAGCGTCCTTTCCTGACTCTATACTAAGCGATGAATGCTAACGGAATACAGATGATCTGCTCAGGAACAGGTTCGGCACTTTCATCCGTTCGTGGCATAATTCTAGCCATGGCAGGCAAAGAGTCCAACATTTACAACGTCAAAGGCGGAGTCGGCGCAGCATCTTCAGCCAAGCTCATCAACCAGCTTCTAGCAGGAGTCCACATCGCAACGGCAGCAGAGGCACTCGCATTCGCATCCCGTCTTGGCCTCGACACACGGCAGGTATACAACATCTTCAACGAGTCTCCCGCCTGGAGCTGGATGTTTCAGAACCGGGCTACGCAGATGCTCGATGCCGATTGGACTCCTCACTCGGCTTTGGCAATCTTTGTCAAGGACCTTGGTATTGTTCTGAATGAAGCCAAGAGGCTGGCTAGCTATACGCCAATGTCTGCGGTGGCTCATACCCTCTATATCGATGGGGCTGCTCGTGGGTGGGCTAGAGAGTCGGATGCGGGCGTGGTGAGACTCTGGGAGGCTGCTGGATCAGACGTGAGCAAGAGCGCATCAGCCAAGGTATCAACTCCTGTTTCTTCCGAAGACTCCATGAAACCATTACCAGCAAAAGCTACATTGGCCGCCCTCCCTGCCGAGTACACCACCGATCTGATCGAGTCAACGAAAGCTCGCGTTGACAGTGGTGCCATGCCTGTACTCATCGCTCTCGACGATGATCCCACAGGAACTCAGACCTGTAACAACATCGACGTTCTAGCCGTCTGGGATGTCGACACTCTCAAGGAGCAATTCGCAACGGACTGCCGCGGTTTCTTCATCTTAACCAACAGCAGAGCACTCCCACCCGCCGAAGCAAAAGAGCTTATTGTCGAGATCACGACAAACGTGAAAAAGGCCGCTGAGGAAAGTGGCAAGGCCTTCGAGATAGTCTTGCGCGGCGACTCAACACTGCGCGGTCACTTGCCCGAGGAGCCTGAAGCAGTCGAGCAGGTGCTCGGTAAATCCAATGGCTGGATCTTGGCACCTTTCTTCCGTCAAGGGGGCAGGTTCACCATTGATGATGTTCATTATGTGCAAGAAGATGACCAACTCATCCCTGCGGCACAGACTGCATTCGCAAAGGACGCTACGTTCGGGTACAAGAACTCCAACCTTCGGGAGTACATCCTTGAGAAATGCAGATCACGGTTCACGGCATCATCGTTCACGTCCATCACCTTGGAGGATCTGCGCTGCGGCGGTCCAGCCAAGGTGGAAGAGAAGCTTCTGAGCGGGGAGCGTGGCGCTGACCGTGTCATCATTGTCAATGCTGTTGCGGACTCGGATATGAACGTCTTCGTTGCTGGCCTCTTGGCTGCTGAGGAGAAGGGATACCGTTTCATCTACCGCACTGCAGCTGCCTTTGTATCGTCAAGGCTCGGTATCAAAGAAATTCCACCTAAGACATGGGCTGAAGTTTCGCTCAAAGCTGACGTTGACGCACCCAAGACCGGTGGTCTCATTCTAGCTGGTTCATACGTACCCAAAACAACAGCGCAGCTCGAGACGTTGCGTGAGCGCAGGGGCGCAGATCTTGAAGTGATTGAGCTCGATGTAGCTCAGATAATCGAGTCTGCGGAACAGGAGCAAAGGATGGTAGACCATGCTATCTCCGAGACTACCAGGCTCATCAGCGCTGGCAAAGATGTCTTGGTCATGACTTCACGAACGTTGATAAAGACCGACGAAGCCATTTCCTCGCTGAAGATCGGCTCCAAGGTAGCTGCTGCACTTGTCCGCCTCCTCGTCAACATACAGGTGCGGCCACGATATATCATTGCCAAGGGAGGAATCACATCCTCGGATGCAGCCACAAAAGGTCTCAAGATGAAGAGAGCTCTGGTCGTGGGCCAGGCTGCACCGGGTGTGCCGCTCTGGAGATGTGATGAGGAGACAAGTCGGCATCGGTCTGTGCCATTTGTTGTCTTCCCTGGCAATGTTGGTAGCGAGACAACTCTGGCTGAGATTGTTGAGCAGTGGGCACTTTGAGAGATAGATACTTGGATTGGGATTGGCGAGGAACAGAAGCACAGTATGTCGCTTTCAATCAATTGTCTTTACTGAAGAAGAGCTCGTAGTTTCTATGGATGAGTGGAGCAATAGTGATAATTATAGTAAAAGATTTATTACTCGTGATAATTCTCCCATCAGTCGAAAGACCCTCTATATTAAATATTCTGCACGATTATTCAAAGCCTGTCAGACTAAAGCTTCTATTCCAACCGCACAGATACGTTTGTGAATTACAATAAGCAAATAGATCTTTTCATACCTAAAAGTGAGATTCCATTCTGGTAAATATTCCCGCGAACATCAATTTGATCACTGCGAATCCATAAATCATAAATAAACAGTATCCAATCCATCCTTGAGACCCTCATCCAAACTAACCCTGCCACTTAACACGCTTATCCCTGAACAGAGTGACCATAGCAATAGGCAACAACTCCGTATTCACAATATTCAACCTCCCAAACCTCTCAACAATCTCATGCCCATAAAACGTAGCAACCCACGTCCAATACGCATCCATGTTGTTCCACCACCCAGTAATACCCTGCAGATTCGACTCCCCGCGCAACTGCTCCATCGCAGCTGATATCTTCCCATCATCGGTCTCTACCTTGCTCTCGGTAGGTCTCTTCATGAGCGTGCGGAAGATGCGGTGCAGTCTGTTGGTGGCTGTGAAGTGCTCGAAGAAGAAAGCCTCGCGGTAACGGATGAACTCTTCAAAGGGCATGAAGGTGTCTTTCTCGTGTTGGGTTTCTGGCTCCCAGTCTGGTTCGTCTAGGGCATATCGTTCATGACGAGTTTTGCCGTTCAGGAACTTTTGTTTGTAACCTTCGTATGCGTGACGCTCATCTTCCTGGAAGTCAATCATAGGCTGAGATGGATTCTTGGAGACTTCGTCGTGAATCTGCATCAGAGAAATAAACGGGGACTGCAGGTCAAGTCCGCCAAGTTCCATGGGGAAGTAGAGATATCCGTCGGGAATATTCTTGATGCCGAATCTCTGACTGATCCCTTGTTTCAAGAACTCCACCACGCTCGTGACTTGCCCATTTGAGAGTTTCGCGAAGACCTGCTCCTCAATCTTCTTGTGAGTTGAAAGCATATTGTCGACGTGTTCACGACCAAAACAATTGGCTGCTTTACCAAAGTTGGAGGTAAAGAAGGTCACAGCATATGTATTCCAGGCTTGGATGAAGCCAAGAATGCTCTTACGCTTGTCGACTAGCTGTTTGTGAAGTTCATTGACATGAGAGTCGACCATCTTCTGATCAATCTCGAACCGGCCCGTCTTGGGTGACAAGCGAAGGAATCCCCAACGAATCTCGCCTTCTGGCAGTGAATCATCGATGGGAAGGGTCGCATTGCTATCCTTGGAGATGCGAACCGTACCTGTCTTGGTAGAATTGACACTAACACCGGTGACGATAGTAAACTCATCAACAGTATCCCATGCCTTGACAGCGACCTTATGGTCAGGCGACCAGAACCAAAAGTTGTCATGCATTCTCCAGAGGTTGTTCGAGGTAGCCTGGTTGACAGCAAAGTCAAGGCAAAACAGGGTCGTCTCGCCAAAGACATCGCTCAAAACATGAGCTGCTGGAGTACCACGACGTCTCTTGCGCGCAGACGAGTCGTCATCGTCGACAAACTTGAGAGGTGCCTCAAGGAACTTCTTAAAGAACCCAAGCCACGTATCGGAGACACCAAGGAACTTGAGGATAGTAAAAACGGTGTCATGAGGTAGCTTGGGGTTCCAGTCGTCGAAAACAGAGTGGAATGCGGTCATCTCGCCGTAAAGATGGGTGTTGATAGTGATCTCTGTAGACAACAGATGAAGCAAGGTCTGCTTGAGTGCCATTGGATTTCGAGACTTGTTGTCTTCATCATCGTCGTCGTCTTCCTCTTCTTCCTCATCAGAGGAGTCAACCTCAGCAGCAAAGTTGTTTGTATTCATAACCCTGCGATGTCTCATCGCACCGCCCTGACCCACGCCTCCGGTCGATGGGTGTGACTTTCGCGCTGCTTTGCTAGCAAGCTGTCTGCGAGGTGCTTGCATAGGTGCCTGGACTGCGAGTTTACGTTTCTTGGTGTCGGCGGCGAAACGTTCGTACTCAGCTTCCTCCTCACCGTCGGCAGTGCCTGTGATTTCATCCACATGGTCCATAAGCTGTGCCATGAAATATCTCTCTTCGTTGACCTTGACACGTTCACGCTGTAGGCAGGGTGAGTCAGAAAGAGGGCCGAGGTAGTATCCAAGTCGTCGCCGATCCTCTCGCGGGATCTCTTGCCTCTCCGATTTCCAGGCGACAGAATCACGGAATCTTTTGAAAGCTGTCTTGAAGAAAACACTCCATTTAACACCAATATACTGGAGGAAGATGGCTTGGAGTAAGTCCTCATGCATATGGATGTTGAAGACTCCGCTGATCTTCTTCTCCATCGAGACGGGGATAGGAGTCTCCGAGTTCCACGTACATGATTCGAGGGCATTGATGCGCATGTTGAGGACGTCTGCAATTTCTTTCAGGATCATATGATTGCTTTCAAAGTCCTTGAGTACTTCTCGTTTTTCATTGGAGAGGAGATCTGACGAGTGAAGACCGGCAATGGTCCACTTGAGGGAGCCAACAGTGAACTGATTGGGTGTTGAGATGGATGCTTCATGGTCAGAGACACATCGCCGAAGAACCTTGAGACTATTAGCCATAGCCTTCTTGTCCTTGTTGTTAGAGCCGAAAAGATGCTCCAGGTAACTGTTGAGGGCCTTAGTATCAATGTCGGCGGCTTGAAAGACGGTGTCCTCCCAGTCAATCCTGGACTGAAGTTTGGCCTGGTCACCAATGTCCTCGAAGGCCTCGCCCATCTCAACATCTGCCTCTGGATCCTTCTCCTTATCGCCAGATAGCCACTCGGTCACGAGCTCGCCATAGAGCCAGGCATACTGATACTGAAGGGCTTGCATATCAAGCTGGCGAGTGAGGGACTCTTCCCAGGCAGCCAACATCTTTTGCGACACAGAAGGATCCGTCTTGGCCTGACCAAGGAAGCGGTCGAGGTTCTTGAGGTCAATCTCAAGGCGTTTGTGACTACTGAAACCTAGCATGACTTTGTTCTCCTTAGTGAGCTTGATAGAGAAACATTTCTTGACACCATCGCTCAAGATGACAAGACGCTTGACAGCATCCTTCTCTGCCTTGACGGAAGAAAGAATCGCCGCCTTGGCTTCTTCAAAGCGAGAGCGTCTCTTGGAGAGCTCCTGGAGCTTGGTGTTGGTGATCTCTTGGAGAGTCTCGGAGAAGACACTACCGGAGGTAGCCATGGTGTAAGTGGGCTGAGGCTTAGGGGTAGTAGTCTTCTGTATGTGTGCTGATGGTCTTTTTGTTTGTCTGATTCTGGCCATTAGTGATGAAGGACCAGGTTTGAAGGATGAAGTGATGATGGAATGGTTGTAAAAGAAAGGAGGGGAAGCGATCGGAGGAGGAGGGTAGTGGGTGGTATATATACCAGGTAGGAGGAGGATTTGGTGTCCTCAGGCCACAAGTTGCAAGGAGCTGTGCCGTCTCGGCCGTGTAAGCCAATGGCTTTGGTGAATGATCTGATGTCACCAACAGGAGCTCACGCAATACAAAACAGAATCAAAAAGTCATGTGCGCGTGACTGATCCAGTAGTAATCCAGTAATAGGTTGTCACACGTATATCGTGGGCCACAGTAACAAGTTGTAAGTTGTTGATGAGATGAAGTGAAGTCAAAAGATGAAGTGAAACCAAGGTGAAGCTAAGATGTGCTGACTGTCCCCGTTGACAGAAATGATTCGTCAGATTTCAGAGCATAGTGGGTCACCCTTAGGCTACAGCGTCTCGTTTTACATCGTTTTCAACTTCATCACTTGAACCCTCGTGCAAGTCATCGACTGATGGAAAAAGTACTAACACGAGCCTCATCGCGAGGTGTATTAACAAATAGCGTCGGATATATCTTCAAGGCGGCGACTAACAGGGGATTTTTTCTTGTTATCTACTATCCCAACCGCCCCGAAACCAAGACCAGGACAAGACCGTGTCGTGTGGCATCATATTACGCAATAGAATTTACAACTGCTCCTCTGAGTCCATCCATCACTCTACTATGTTGTCCTTCGCCATTCCGTACCCCCAAAAGCCTCGCAAGCCATGCGCAAGGCACCATCATGGTTCATTCGATCATCTCTAGCTTGTCCATAAGTTCCTTAAATGCCATCCTGCGAGTCTCTTCATCATCCCTTCTAACTTCGTACACCCTTGGACAGGCTTCTTGTTTCTTCTCTTCCTCGATCCATAGAGTAACCCCGAGGTCTTTCAAAGCCTCAAGGTCAGGATTCCACGCCGATGCCAAAGTCTGCTCGAAGTTCCTCATCATTGATGGCAAAACGTGGTCCCAGAATTCCAAAGCACGCTCGTGATATTCTCTAGTCTCTCGAAAGAGATACATGTCGTCACTTTCTTCTGCGTAGACCGTGTCATTGATATCCTTAAGCATGAATCGTCTGAACTCGGCAATTATGTTGTCGATAAAGGCTGCTTTGTCACCATCATTTGTCGCGGTACAGACTCGATCGTCTAGCGACTCATCTGGAAAATCTGACCTGGTGGAGCATGTGTGTACCATATCGAGGTCGGCGAAAGTCGCTTGCCTCAAAACAGTTGTATGTTGATACATTGTCAATATTCCTCCAAACCCTTCCACGAATGATCGTAGCTCGTCAGTTTCTGATGAATGACTTTCCAAAAGACACCGAATCGCATGGGTAAAGGGCGTATAACCTTCAGGTGAACACTGACAAGTACAGTTGTCCGTGTACTCAATAGCCAAAGGGTCGTGGACAATGTATTTCTCCAGGTTCTTCATGTTGTTGATGATGATCTCGGCTAGAACAAAGCTAGAACACTCTGATCTGCTGTTTTCACAAATTACTGTCCAGAAGTTTGGGCAGTGGTTATATAGCCACATCGCATACTGCGGTGATGTGCAGTGCAAGACCTGTGGTATGTCTGGACCAAACGCACAAAAGGCCTGTTGGCTTAGTGATGGGCGTATCCAGGCGTCATCAATATCGGTGAAACCGCTATGCCAAAAGATGGATGCATCTTCAGGACATGTGATGTCTAACCATATGGGTCTGAAGGTGGGCTTTTCAGCCTCCATGTAACCGGTTTGTGCTGGCAGTGCTTCTGGTAAGGCTTTAAGTTTGTCAGCAGCTTGTCTGTGATGAGAATCGTCAAGCTCAATAGATTGAGTGTCGAATTTTGTTGCTCGCGAAGGATAGGTTCCTAGCCACAGCAATGTTCTTGGCGCTAACCCCTCGAATTCCAGCTGGCGCATTTGTAGATGTTTTGCAATCAAAACTTTGCAATGTCTGGAGGCACCAATGAATAGGTTGAAAGATACAACCATACCAAAGATTTTGCGTTTCGAAAAATCGTAGAATGGTCTGATAGGGCATTTTGCTTCCAACAGGATCCTGACTGCCTCAGTGCAGGGGCAAGCAGACCCTTTGGTAGTTCCACGAGTGTTGCAGATGTTTTTGCTTATCTGGATTGACCTACCCAGAGGACTAATCATACCAGATGCTATTCGACATGGCTGAAGGAGCTGTTCTGGGGTTGCTCGCTCGACCAACAGTCGTAATATTTCCGGTTTTTCTATGGCCACAAAACAAGGAGACTCCCCATAGAAGCTGATTTCCCCCATACATTCCGGATCCTTATGGATTTGATTCTCAACTTCTCCGACGTCGTTCCTTAGAATTGCAAGGGTTAATGGCCCAAACAATGCTATTTTGGTCTACCGTTAGCATGCATCATGGTGCAATTTATTTCTACATCATACCTTGGGCGATTCTTCGACTCACACCATCATACTTAGCTATGTCGATGCGGCCAAAGCTGCCAAACCTCAGTTCTGGCTGCCTGGGAGCTGGTATCTCGGCATCATCGACACACAACCGAGCAAGAATCGAGGATGGAAGTAGGAACTCGTCGGCAGCCACATGCAGGGCGAGGCTATTTTATGTCAGTACTATAATGTAGTCGTAATAATGCAAGTTCAACATACCGGCCATCTGACCCTACGGCCGATACTGGGGTACCTGCTGCGATAAGAAAGTCGAACAAGGACTTTAGACTCGGATGTGCACGCTGCTGCTGGGTTAAGATTCGGAAGTCACCAGAGTTCATCTGTTCTTGTTAGCTATCACGCGATTTCACAACACGGATTGAGAAGACTAACAGTCAAGGTCAAGTGATGAAGTAAGGAATAGCCACGTGAGTTGACATCGGTGGGCCTAGCCCTTCCGGAGCGGAAGATCGATCGAAGTTTCCGGGTAATCGACTCGAATAAGGGCCCCGGATAACTTTCCATTGCCCAACGGGCTCCCAGACGACTTTCAACCAGCAGGTTGATAACTCTAAAGGCTGGAGAATTACCTTCATCAACCATAGCAAAGTAATTGATAGAGGGACTGATGCTGAACCCGCCTGCTCCAGTAGTCGTGCGCAATGTCAACTCAACAGCTCTTCCTATTAGTCCAGTAAGTCCCGTGAACCTCAAGGTTCTTTCTCGCCAATGATCATTAGCTTCTACGTAGAAATCGCAGTCTTTTAAGTGATTTTGGTGGGAAACAGCTTCATCTTTAAAAGACAGCGATCCCATTCGAAACGTTCTTTGTGTGCGCAGCCGCCTTTTCCTACAAGGAAGGGCGCAGGCAGAAGAAGCAAGCTCGTATAATGCACTTGGCTTAGAGGCCAGCTTGCAAACAGCCTGTGCAGGATTCTGGCCATCGACTCGGAGATGTGACAGGAGCTCAGCAGTTTGAACATGGCGTTGCAACGCTGCAGACTCCGCTCGTTGGAATGATGCTCGTATCTCATCCATCTGTGTGTCTAAATGTGCTTTAATCATCAAGTTGATCTGAGGAGCCACTGAATCGACAGAAGTTCGAAGCGAAGGAAGCTGTGGTCGAATGATAGAGACAGAACTAGCGAGACCAGATATCGTAGCAGCCAGCGTCGAGACCTCAAGCGCTGTTTTCTGGGCGCTTGCAGAATTGAGAATCATAGCATCAGAAGTCACCGCTTGTAGCTCTCTGGTCAAGTGTTAATGAAAGTCTTGGAGACTTCGGTAGTCACGTACAGTTGCAAGCCTTGGACAGCCAGGTTGAGTGGAGTGCAAAGAATATCCAGAGCATTTTCCAATTGTGTTAGTTGAGCCTGCCGTAGAGGATATGAAATTTTTCGATATGTGCCCTTCACTTTATCTTTAACGGTAGACTCAGACGGGTTGGGCGCGGCAAACTTGTCTCCAAATTCCTTGAGGTCCTTCAAACCGTCCTCACAGTTAGCCAAGCATCGTACAGCATAAGCCGCAGCTTGCGAAGTGGACGGATCTAGTTGACCACTCTGCAGAAAACTATCGAGTAAGCAGAAACTGCCTTCTAGAGACCCCGTTAGGCGTTTGAGTCGAGCAAGGGCATCGTTGTGGTCTTTGAGCCCGCCGAGGTAGCTCACAAGGCCGGAGCATATCTTAAGACCCAGGGGGATGATTGCAAGTGCCAACTCGGCCATGGTACTCTCTCAACGTGTGCTGAGAACGTCTTTTGAGGGAGGAAGTATTAGATGAGAGATAAGCAAGGCCGCTGATTTCAAAATGTTGGGCTAAGTACAGTGGTAAGAACAGGCCGCCAGTGGTATCCCACCGTGTCAAGCACCTGCTGCAGAACATTCACAATCACAAACGTCGTCAGAGGCTGAAAATCGCCGTTCTATTGGCTGCTTGGTTCCTGCGGCTGAGACAAGGCAGAACAGTGCGAGTGAAGTATATTGGCTGCAATTATCTCTGCAGCTGACCGCTATTTTTATTTAATCACGCACCAGGTGCATGGGCTCTCAGATCTCCAGAAACATTTATTATCATTCTGTTAGTCACCGCTGACGCAATGCGAGTCTCTGCACAGCCAACATGTTGTTGGTCCTTGAGTGGCTCTACGCCAACGCACAGGTCATGTTTCAAGTAAAATAGCGCTCAAATCACTTATTTCAGGCCACCGAGCACTAAAACGAACCTCCACTGCCCTCCTTTCGTTCTTCTCAATCTCATTGTCATTCTGAATCCTCACGATGAGAATTTCCGAGGGTTCTCCATATCCTCCAAGCGAATCTGATATTTCAGAGATCTCGCGCGATCTTGAGAAAGAAAATGCCATCGAAAAACTGTCACTACTTCCCAATCCTCCCCCTCGACCCCGATGTCTGACTCCATCTGGTTTTCGAGATATCACAGAAGAGCCTGGACTACCGAGGCCGACTTTTCAACATTGCGCATACTATAAGCTGCCGTCCGATATCAGAAGATACATTCTGATACTGGCTTTCGGCAATCGTCGTCTCCATATGGACTTTTCATACGATTATCCCGACATGTCTTCAGACCTCATTCAACCGTTAGATAAGAACCATTGTGGCATCGTCATGGAGAACATGTATGGCGAAAAACTACGAGTCGTCGATGATACAGAACCAAGGTCTTGCATTTGGTGGGGATCTGTTTGCCATCGACTCCCGCCAGATCACGACGTATCGCAAACAGGTCCAATGACCCATCGAGGACCTGATGGTCCTTGGGCTGATACCTGTCGCGTCGGTGAAGCTCGTCACTGCGACTCTTGGCCAGGCTCATTCCCTGTCAAGTGTCGCATCGGTATAATGGGATGGCTGCTGTCTTGTCGCCAAAAGTAAGTCATCTCTATGTCTACAATCCTAATCATCGCAATTAACAGCATCGTAGTTATGCCGAAGCTATCGACATACTTTACTCTAAAAACACAATCATCATGGCCAACGAAGTAATGATAAAACATCTACCTCAACTCTTATTACCGAATCGCCTAGCGTCCATAACTTCACTGGAAATCAGCTGGAACTTGAAGTCCCGATACGAGAGCGGAATTTGGGACATTGATGAGGCAGATTTGAAGCACGTGTGTGAAATAATATCCACCCAGTTCCCGCGGCTACGTCGTCTTTATTTGTCTCTCGAGCGCTCATGGCATAATGATGCTTGGCCAACTATCAGCCTTCATCTGGACAACCTTGCGCGAATGATGCCATCTCTGACAGAACACGCGATCTCGCTGCCGGACACTCCATTCGATTCTATCTTTTACGATGCAAAAGAAACAGACTTTGGATCGTATTCAGAAATATGCCATTCTTATAATCAGATCTGGCGATCTACTGACGGCGAAATGGATGTCATTCGTCTTCCATATGTCGACAGCTATCCGAACGTCCCGTATCACATACCCTCTTCAATCTCCAAGTACGAAGGTTATTGGATCCTCAAGGAAAGTAACAGGTTCAACGTATCGGGGCTCTCTACCGAGTCGTCTCCGCTAAGGGGCCCTTGTGTGCCTTACTATGATTCTGAATCTGAGCTTTATTATAGAGACCTTCTGGAACTGGAGGGCATACTTTGAAATTCTGGTTTGTAACCCAGAGAAGGTCTGTTCTGACATGGTCTTCTAGTCATGCTGACGCCTCTTCTGCTTTATCACTTATGAATGATGTTTTCAGGAGCTGTATACTTAGTTGCTGAGCTGAGTTTTATCACCAAATGGAGAATTAAGCATCCATTGTCGGACAGATTTATGCCGGCTATCCCCCACTTACATCATCAAGTGGCTATAATGGGTAGGTGACGCGACAAATATTAGAAACGTGCCGCAATTTAGTATCGGACGTGGTACTTGGCAGACAGGTCGGACAGGTCCAACGTTTTATGTAAGTAATGTGTGGAAGAATCATCAGTATGTCAGACAGTTGAGCGATCTCATGAACGCAAGGCAGCGAGATAAAATAGGCATCAATAATAATAGCGACAATCTTCTAGGCAGCAATACTGAGAATAACTACAAAGGCAGCCTAAATCACTCTGATAATCATACATCGCGAAACTTCTGACGAAACTAGGCCAAAGACACAATGACCGTAACCGAAGTTGGCTGCATGGTCGTCAAGCCCGGTATGAACATCATGGACCATACCACCCCAGAGGGCAAGATTCTGACTGACGCTTGGAAAACCGTCATCAGCAAGCCGGGTGGGCCTCAGCGAGTCTACTGGGGCTTGGAATCAGTTGACCCATCGAAGATCTGGGGCTTTTTCGACTTTGATTCAGTCGAGCAACATCGACGCTTCGCGGAGGAGTAAGTTTTTACACGTTTACTAGAGTAAAGTAGCTAACTGGTATAGATATGGCGCAAATGCAGTCAAGGAGATTCCCAAAATCTGCACTCATGGAGAGTTCTCAAAGCATATCAAGATGATCCCATCCTCAGACGTTCTTGAGTCACCTCTGACAGAGATTGTACTAGCATACTTCCCCCAAGACATCTCAGAGGAAAAGAAAGGAACTCTCTCATCCAAGATTCAGGAAATTCTCAGACAAGTTTTTCCTGGCGAGGCTAGAGTAGCTCATGCCTGGGGCGTGGAGAACGACTTTCCAGCAAGAAGCGAAGATGGAGTACCGAGATCAGTTCTCATGGGTTTTGTTGGACTTCCTCATTCTGAAGCTTGGGGAAATCATCAGAAGACGGATAGCTGGAAAGAGGCACTCTCAGGTATTGAAGGGTTGGAGGGCTGTACTAGTATTTATAGCTTTGCGATAAGCTGCCAGCATCTGGAGAGAATTTGAGGACTATACGGAGTACACTTATACGAGATATAGTTGATTGCATTGATCAGAATATCGAATAGGCAGTAATGCTCAGTTTCAATTACGATCTTGCTATAATCTAGAGGAATAAATCATTTTCAACGAAGCTCTAGTTCATAGTTCGGCCATACTCTCTTCTCTTGATGCTCGACAGCCCAACGCAGAGTCCCAACTCCATCAGATCTAACCGAGGTTTTAGACTGCAAAGATATCCACTTCTGCCCGTCTTATCACCATGCCCGTCCTCGGAGGGCAAGAAAACTCCGGCCTAAATTTAGGGTTTTAAAAATAAACTTAGCAAAGGATACCCTAAATCTAGTAAAGTTACCCTAAATTTATCCTAAGTTAACTAAGTCTTTTTGTCATTTAGGATCAAGGTCCTGAGTTTTCTTTCCGCCCCTAGCCCGTCTTCCAACAAGAGCGGATCCAAAATCCACAACCCCACGCTTAGCGAAATCACCTCCCGAATCTTTTATCACCACCATCAGACCAGCCTAATCCTCGTCTTTACCACGGTATGATGGAGAAACTCACCACTCCAAGCGGTGTCCTCGACCAAAAACACAAGACTCCCCACGAAACTTCGTCATTCAATCACGAAGAACTCAACCGAGACCGCCCGACATGTTTTCCAAATCTCTCATCAGAGCTAGGCTTTATCTTTGTGGTCGTGGGATCGATAGCTATCAGCGAGTATTTTGTTTCTGGCTTTCCCATCGTTTTGTCTTCGTTGGCGGATACTTCGCATGAGGTTAGGACGTGGTCTGCTGCTGTTATCAATCTTACTGCGGCTGTTTTGACACTTCCTTTCGCTAGACTCTCCGAGATTCACGGGGGAAGGTTTATCTTTCTAGGTGGTCATGCTTGGTCAATTGTTTGGTCCATCATTGCTGGCTTCAGTCAGAATCCTTCTATGCTTGTCGCTTGTCGAGCAATGCAGTGTTTAGGACCTTCAGCTTTCTTACCGTCTAGTGTCCTTATCATATCGCGCATTTATCGTCCTGGTCCGCACAACACTCTTGTTTTCAGCATATTTGGAGCCTTTTCCTGCATCGGTTTCTACTCTGGAATCTTCTTTGGCGCATTGTCCGCTCATGCCCTGGGCTGGAAATGGTATTTCTTCATTGGTGCATTCTTTTGTACCAGTATCTTCATCACTGGTCTTTTGACTATTCCAAGGAGCTATGAGTGTCCACGGCTTGACCTCGAGATGGATTGGTTAGGTACGGCTACTGTTGTACCGGGCCTTGCGTTGGTGGTGTATGCATTGACTGGTGGAGGAAACGCCCCTTACGACTCTGTTGCCTTGATCTTGGGTATCACGTGTCTTGCGCTGTTTGTTTACGTTGAGAGATGGAGGGCAAGTAAGCCTCTTATTCCAGCAGTGGTTTTTAACACGAAGTACATGAGTCGATTGACCGTTGCACTATTCGTCTCCTATGGATCTCTCAGCCTGGTACTTTTCTACGCCAGCTCCTAGTAAGTCCTGCCGCGTCCACCAAATACCAATCTGAGCTAACGTATTTCTTAGCATCGAATCAGTCCTATATACTGGACCTTTGTTGACCACCGCTTGGTTAATTCCTCTAGCAGCTGGAGGTTTCATCCTTGCTGTCACCGGCGGCTTTGCTCTTCATATCCTCAACGGACGACGATTCCTCATCATCTTCTGTCTTGGTTTCCTCGGCTCGTCGATTCTATTTTCAATCATACCTGACAGCAGAATATCAAACTCATTCCTCGGCTGGACATTCATCTTCCCAGCCATGATTCTCGCAACAGTCGGGGTAGACATTACCTTTAACATACACAGCTTCATTATCACAACATCCCTACCTAATCATCTACAGACATTGGGAGGTGCATTGGTCACCAGCCTACTCTACCTCGGCATGGCATTTTGGCTGGGTGTTATTGAGATAGCAACATCGGCACAAAAAGAGGTCAAGGTTGCCAAAAATCTTGATGCACCAAGTCAATGTCAGATTGGGTTCTGGACTGGTACTGGACTGGCTTTGATTTTCATCACGGTGCAAATACAGTCGGGCGAGGCTGATTTGGCCGCTGATGAGAAAGCACAGAGAGAATGGCAGATGGATGTTAGGCAGAACATGGAGTGATGCGCCTGGGTTTGGCTTCTGGAATAGGACTGTTATCGTATGTATTTTAGCTGATTAGAATACACTAGAGTATTGACTATAGAGATTATCGATTTTTCATTGCATTCCCCCCGACGAGATAGTGAAGTCAGGACTTATATGTCTTGTGAGCATATAGCAATGCTAGAGGCTTAGGTAAATTCCTCTAAATTCCTCTACACCAAGATCACAGACTCCGGAGGTGCATCCTACAATAATCGCACGTTCTTCTAGTCACTCAAACTTGAGCATGGCCTTCAAGTCTTCGATCTAATAACATCACGAAAATGAGAGAATGTGTCCTCCAGCTCTGACTTCACTAGCACGAATACATCTAACTAAGCGTTTGCTGAGAGCCCATTCCGTGCCTCGGTTTTGCATGATTAAATTAACTCTATCCTCAGCCAAACACTAGACCAGTCTTCCGCAGTCTCGCATGATGTCCGTCCGTAGATAACTCGGTCTTGCCAGGGTTACATCTAAAGTTCTTTATCCTTAAGTTTAATTACAACTCTGAAACCCACGACAGGGTCATGCCCAGCCGCACACGCATCCAGACCGCTCAACACCCCAAAATCAAGAACCCTTCACCAAAACCCTGATCCTTGAATTTAACAGAGAGCAATGTCACCGCTTCTCAAACAGTCGATCTGGCTCGCGTTACCCCCTCGAATTTTAACGTTGGGGTTTGCGGGGGAATTATGTACCTTCGTCCCCAGTGTCGATGGGGGCGGGGTGATCTACCGCTAAGGATGGGGAAATACAGCTCCACGGGAACTCTGAGCCGCGGATAATTTACAGTCCACGAATGAGAAGCTGGCTTCTGGGAACAAGATTATTCAGAGGGCCAGTGTAGACGACGCTTTGTTAGCGAAGACAACACTTCCAATCTGGGGTTTGTTGAATTTTTTGACATGAGACGAGGGCCATTAAACTAAAGTAGCTATGCAGTGTAGACCCGCTTGAGATGCTGGGGTTCATGTATTCGGGAGTACCTCCGAAATGATCATCCATTCTTTGTATATAAAACCTCTAAATATCCCTATGTTTCTTTCCTTCTGATCCTCAAGCCAACTCATCTTCTCCACCGTCAATCTTTTCACAATGAAGGTCTCGAGCTTCTTCACAACCCTCTCCCTGTTCGCAGGCGCTCTCGCCGAGGCCATCGACCTCCCTGCCGGTGTCCCTCGCAGCATTGAAGAGTTCCGCGCCAAGCATCCCTATGAACTTCCTGTCAAGAGAAGTCATCGTAAGGTCTATACTATCAGACATAGTAAGAACGATCACGATGATGTATCTTCCGAGTTCTACAAGGGCTTGAAGAAGGCGAACAAGGGAGGTACTCTGTATCTCCCCAAGGGTCAGACTTTTGTCATTGGAAAGCCTCTTGATCTCACCTTTTTGAATGATATTCATGTTCATCTTGAGGGTGAGATTAAGTTTACCAATGATACGGAGTACTGGCAGAAGAATGCTTATAAGCATCCTTTCCAGGTATGTTTGATATGTCATGATGAATGAGTTGAGACTAATGGTTGTAGAACTCGATCATGTTCTGGAAGTGGGGTGGCAAGAACATCAAGCTGTATGGAAAGGGTGTTCTGAACGGTAACGGTCAGCGATGGTGGAACGGTATGTCTCTGACTCAAAATATTTCAGATTGTATACTGACAATGACCAGAGTTCGCCGGCAAGGAGATTCTTGACACTACCAACGCCTATCTCCGACCTATTCTGTTCTATGCTCAGAACGCCACCAACCTGGACATCCAAGGAGTTCACTTCAAGGACTCCCCTTGCTGGACCAACTTTGTCGTCACCTGTAAGGAATTATCTAAACAAGACCTTATGATCATGTACTGATAGTCCTTTAGCCAAGGACATCTCCTTCAAGGACGTTATCTGCACTGCTCGCTCCACCAACGCCACTGCTCTTCCCAAGAACACTGACTTCTTTGACTCCCTTAACGTCGAGAACCTCAATGTCGAGCGTGCCTGGGTTGACATTGGTGACGATTGCTTCTCCCCCAAGAGCAACGCTACCAACGTCCACGTCGACACCATGTACTGTAACGGTGAGCCTCTTCACTTCACGCCTCCAATAGTATTTACTAATGAGATTAGGCACCCACGGTCAGTCCATTGGCTCTCTCGGTCAGTACAAGGGCGAGATGTCCTTCGTCAAGGACGTCGTCATCGAGAACGTCTGGATGCTCAACGGTCAGCACGGCGCCCGGCTCAAGACCTGGGCTGGCCCTGACATCGGCTACGGTTTCATCGACAACGTGACCTTCCGCAACTTCTGGGGCGGCAACAACGAGTACACCGCCTTCATCGACTCGTGCTACTTCAACATCAACGCTACCACCTGTGCCCAGTACCCGTCTCGCATGAACATCACCAACGTTCTCTTCGACAACTTCACCGGTTACAGCTCCGGCAAGTACGGTAACGCTGTCGCCAGGTTGACTTGCTCGACTAGCAAGGATGCTGTCTGTGAGAACATCAAGTTCAAGGACTTTAACATCAAGACTCCTTGTGGTGGAGACCCTGTGTTCCTGTGTGATGGTGTTAAGGATATTGGTGTGGATTGTGTTAGTGCTACTAGTGCGGAGGGTAAGGCTGCTTTGGCGAATAAGTGTGTTGCGCCTCAGGCTTCTGCGAGCCCTTTCAAGGTTAGAAAGTTCAACGGTTAAGCGTTGGGTCTAGTTTGGGGTAATTAGTGTGTACGATTAATGAGATACCGATGGGTTTTGCCCATGGACTCGAACTTTGACTTTGAAACGAGTGCCATGATAACCAACTGTGCTAGTTTCTGTTCATAGAGAGCTAGAATCAAGTTTCTTTGAGAAGTAAATAATGATGTAATAACACGGTCAAGGCTGAAGGTCGAGGTCCGAGAATAAAGGTTGCTATTACGATGGGTTTGGATAGATGAGCGAGCCGATCTTAGTAACGGACCTACGATATTATAGAGCTTGGAGAGCATATTCAATTGTCAGATTGTTCTGTAGCACAATCTGACAGACTGTCAACCTTGTAACCTCGTAAAAGAATCAAACGTTGTTTTGTCTCTTACCGAACTGACAGAGGTTGCTGATGAATTCGGATCATGGACAGCACAGCTAGTTGGCACGTTCATTTCAATTAGCAAGGACTAACGTGTTTGAACAACAATGAAACACTGTTGGCTACCTGAGTTTACAATCGCTCAGTGGCGAAGATAAACTCACAATATAAGGAATTCTTTCACTGCATCGGCCAGCCGTAAACTCGGTGGTGTCCGCGGTTATCATGGTTCACAGCGAGAGTTGTGCACATGATCCAAGGTAGGCAGGGCACCAGTTTGCATCTGATCACAATGAGAATGCTGATTGGGTTGCGATAAGAACTGCCGGCAAGTGGGGCCTCTCAACGCTCCCCGCGTACCGAGCGTGCTTGCCCAGTGCGAAAGACTCGTTAGACTCGGTTGCTGGGCTGTCACTTTCCAATTAACGCGTGAGGACGCGTGCACCCTCTCCCCTACCTAAATTACTTGACGCGACTACCGAGTCAATCTAAGAAAGACATGGCCCTCCCAATCTGAAGCTTCCCATCCACCATCCTCAACTTCATTGAATCACCTACTGATTCTCTTTCGTCCAGACTTTTGTTATTCTGTCAATTGTTACTGATTGTTTGCCTACTGACACATATTCGTCATCCAATACTGTCCATTGTCCCTTTGACCTGATTCACGCCTGTCGAGGCCCTGCCTAGCACATTTAATCGCTGCGCACTGCTGAGCCCATTCACCATCATGACGAGCCAGCGATCAACTGCGGCCCGAACGCCCGCTAAGGCGACCAAACCGGCTGCCACTACTTCTTCAGCCAAGCAGCGTTCAATCGTTTCCTTCTTCCAAAAAGCGCCGCCCTCTTCTCCCGCCGCTCCCGCATCATCGCCTCTTGCAAAAGACTCTCCCACGACCAAGCAATCCTCTTGCTTGAAAGAAACAACCAAGGCAAATTCTTTGCCAAAGACAACTCCGCTCTCCAAGACCAAGCCTAAGCCAACTGTAGCCATCAAGCAAACAACCCCTGTGCCTGATAGTGACGCTATCGAGCCCCCGAGCTCCCAGGAGAATCTCGATTCGACCATGAAGGTAAAGAATGCCCCGAGAATGCGCAGCAACACGAGCTGACACGAAGCGACAGAAGCCCTCCAGCAAAATGAACCACGACGCTCTCCCCAGCAGTCCGACTCGAAAGGTGAGAAACTCGCAATGCAAGATGCTAGCGAGATCAGCCACTGATGTTCCCAAGGTCAAAAAGGTTGTTAGTTACGCCGAATCCTCAGAGGAAGACGAGCCCTTCCAATTTGGCGGGCCTGCAAGCTCCTGTCGAAGAACGAGAGTACGACAACAGGTTGTTAGGGATGAGGACGATTACGAAGAACAAGAAGAGGAAGACGTAGAAGAACACGATAGTGGTATGCCTCCCGTGTCTGATTCACTGTTCAACTCTAACGATTGCAGACACCATGGATGACTTTATCGCATCAGACTCAGACGAAGATGCCTCTCGTTCCAAAAAGCGAAAGCGACCCTCAAAGCCCGCTGCTCCCCGAAAACGATCCAACAAGTCATCGCCCATACCCGAACCCGAAATAGATATCAAGGATAGCATTCTTGAGGAGGATGAGCTGATGGATGATGTGGGAGGCGCTACGGCCTCACAATGGAGTTACGACGCTGCCTCCACCGATAAGCAACCGGTCGTAAAGCCCGCTGAAAGAGTGGCCATAAGAGACCCCAAGTATAAGGAGAAGGCATACACCAAAGATCCCGATCAAAGGTATCCTTGGCTTGCCAATATTATGGATAAAGACAAGCGAAAGCCCGACCATCCCGAGTACGACAAGCGAACAATTTACATTCCTCCTGCTGCTTGGCACAAGTTCTCTCCATTCGAGACTCAATACTGGAAGATCAAGCAGAACCTCTGGGATACAATTGTCTTCTTCAAGAAGGGCAAATTTTACGAACTGTACGAGAACGATGCCACGGTCGGGCATCAGGAGTTTGACTTCAAGATGACAGACCGGGTCAACATGCGTATGGTTGGAGTTCCTGAAAGTTCGCTCGATCACTGGGTGAACCAGTTCATCGCCAAACAATACAAAGTTGCTCGTGTCGATCAGATGGAGACAAACTTGGGTAAAGAGATGCGCGAGCGACAGGATAAGAGCAAGAAGGCCGACAAGGTTATCACCCGTGAGCTTGCTTGCATCCTTACAGCCGGAACACTTGTCGACGGTAGCATGCTGCAAGATGACATGGCCTCCTACTGTGTCTCTATCAAGGAATCTGTCGTTGACGATCTCCCTGCTTTTGGTATCGCCTTTGCCGACACTGCCACTGGACGCTTTTATCTTTCTACCTTTGTGGACGATGTGGACTTGACCAAGTTTGAGACCCTCATCGCTCAAACTGGCCCACGAGAACTACTCCTGGAGAAGTCTCGCTTGTCTACCAAGGCACTGCGTATCCTCAAGAACAACACTAGCCCAACTACCATCTGGACACACCTCAAGCCAGGTGACGAGTTCTGGGAGGCGGATAAGACCCGTCGCGAACTCGACTGTGGGGGCTACTTCAAGTCAGAAGATGCTGATAAAGAGGTTTGGCCTGAGATTCTTCAGTCGCTGCGTGATGATGACTTGGCCATGTCGGCAACTGGTGCCTTGATCTCATACTTGCGCTTCCTCAAGCTTGAGAGGCCTCTGCTGTCGCAGGGCAACTTCGAGCTCTACAACCCCATTCAAAAGAATGGAACACTGATTCTGGATGGTCAGACGCTCATCAACCTCGAAGTCTTCTCCAACTCCGTCAACGGCGGTTCCGAGGGTACGCTGTTCAGCCTACTTAACAAGTGCGTCACGCCCTTTGGAAAACGTCTCTTCCGATCATGGGTCGCGCACCCGCTTTGCAACATTGAACGGATCAATGAACGTCTCGATGCTGTCGAGATGCTCAATGCTGATCAGACAGTCCGGGAACAATTTGCCTCACAGCTCGTCAAGATGCCCGACTTGGAGAGACTCATCTCCCGAATTCATGCTGGGCAATGCAAACCTGAGGACTTTGTCAAGGTCCTGGAAGGCTTTGAGCAGATAGAGTACACCATGAGCCTTCTGGGATCCTACAAGGGTGGTAACGGCCTTGTCGATCGCCTGATCTCGTCAATGCCCAATCTTGATGAGCCTTTGAGTTATTGGAGATCAGCATTTGATCGTAGCAAGGCGCGCGACGAGAAGCTGCTCATTCCCGAGCGTGGTATTGAAGAAGATTTCGACCAGAGCTCCGATCGTATCGAGGAGATTAAGCAGCAACTCGAGGATCTCTTGGCCGAGAAGAAGAAGGAGTTCAAGTGCAAGCTTCTCAAGTTCACAGACGTTGGTAAAGAGATCTACCAGTTGGAAGCCCCAAAGAGCGTCAAGGTTCCTTCAACCTTCCGCCAAATGTCGGCGACCAAGGATGTCAAGCGTTGGTATTTCCCCGAACTATCTCAACTTGTGCGAGAGCTTCAAGAAGCTGAAGAAACGCACTCGCAACTCGTACGCGAAGTTGCGTCGCGATTCTTCCAGAAGTTCGATGTTGACTATGAGACCTGGCTGCAAGCCATCAAAATTATCTCTCAGCTGGATTGTCTTGTCAGCCTAGCCAAGGCATCCGCTTCGCTTGGCCAGCCAAGCTGCCGCCCGGAGTTTGTGGACGAGGAGCGAAGCACTGTTGACTTCCAGGAGCTGCGACATCCTTGTATGATGAACACAGTGGACGACTTCATCCCCAACGATATCAAGCTTGGTGGTGACCAAGCCAAGATCAACTTATTGACCGGAGCCAACGCTGCTGGTAAATCCACCGTCCTTCGCATGGTAGGCTTTCTCCTCTTTCTCTGCCCTTGTCCAATGCTAACAACTTCAGTCTTGCGTCGCCGTCATCATGGCACAGATCGGATGTTACGTTCCTGCCACTTTCGCACGCCTCACTCCCGTCGATCGCATCATGTCTCGTCTCGGCGCCAACGACAACATCTTCGCCGCTCAATCGACCTTCTTTGTTGAGTTGTCCGAGACCAAGAAGATCCTCTCCGAAGCCACACCCCGATCGCTGGTCATTCTGGACGAACTTGGTCGTGGAACCAGCTCTTACGATGGTGTCGCCGTCGCCCAGGCTGTTCTTCATCACGTCGCTACTCACATTGGCTGCGTCGGTTACTTTGCTACTCACTACCACTCTCTCGCAACAGAGTTTGAGAATCATCCTGAGATCCGAGCGCGAAGGATGCAGATCCACGTTGATGACGAGGAGCGTCGTGTTACCTTCTTGTACAAGCTTGAAGATGGCGTCGCTGAGGGTAGTTTCGGTATGCACTGCGCCGCTATGTGCGGTATCTCATCGCGTGTCATCGACCGCGCAGAAGTCGCCGCCAAAGAATGGGAACACACCAGCCGTCTCAAGGATAGTCTTGAGAAAGCAAAGACAGGGTGTTACATCCCCCTTGGTATTCTCAGTGATATCGGCGCACTGCTCGGTGATAAGGGCGAGATGGGCGACGCAGGAGTTGATGTGCTCCTCAATGCTATTGAGGCATTATAATATGATAAAACTAAGGGTTCGAACAAGGAGGAACGGACAGGGCTCTAGAGGAATTGGTGATATCTTGCAGGGCGTGTATGGCGTCGACTTTCACATGTATTCGGACTGACGACCTCTGATAGAGTTGTCACAAGGGGATAAATAGGCGTTGCAATGGAGTTCTATTCGAGACAGACATGCGAGATCAATGTGCTTTGGGGTGTTACAGACAGTATAATGAGAGGCAATTGCGATAGCGACAAAGAGATCTAGATACATAGCAAAAGATACAAGATTCCGATTAATCATTCATTGTCCATACAACCCAGCGAACAAACTCAATACAACAAGACTCCAGTACCCAAAACCTTGACCCAACAACAAAAGAAAGTACATACTCAATCCATTATTCAACATACAAATTACCCATCACATCTCAACAGAACTTACCCAGCCCAACTCGACCGCCACGCTGTCAAACGAATCACCTATCTGGATCACTGCTATCATAGTCAGGCTCTGGAGCCGGAGTCACATTTTTTGAACCAGCCGCTTTTTTAGGAGCAGTCTTCGCGGCAGGTTTCGCAGTAGACTTGGCAGCGGGCTTTGGTGTAGGTTCCGGAGCAGGAGTCGCAGTCTTTGAACCAGTCGCCTTTTTAGGTGCAGGCTTTGGAGCGGCTTTCGGGGCCTTGGAAGTAGCCTTGGGCGCAGCCGCAACTGAAGTAGCCCTGGAAACAGCCGTCGAGACAGCTGTCGACGGAGCCGTAGAAGCGGTACCGGCTCTCTGCATCCGAATTCGACTCGAGGCACGCGAAGGCTGCGTGCTAGGCTTTCTTCCACGTTTGGGAATGGCTCCTGTGTTAATGTCAGCCCTGTCCATAACGAGAGAAATGAAGAGAGGTAGGGAAGAGGCGGACTTACCAAGCTTCGGCTTTTTCGCAGCAGGTTGTTCCTCAGTCTCCTCCTCAATTGAAGCAATCGCACTCTCAGGCCTCTTCAACGCCGGCGTACCATCAATAGTGAGATTACCAGGAATGTTCTCCGGAACAAGCCCACGCATCGAACCATCAGTCTCAGTTTCGCTCTGATACTTATACCGGGAATCGGGGACTTCAACTCCAGTGTACATCTTGCGTCGCTTTCGTCCGTCAAAGGTGTCATCCCACGGCAAACCTGGTGCTACCCACGATCCAGGGAAAGGAGGGTCCCCTTCGTAGGGAGGCCAGGGAATGTCCCACCATTCAAAGTTGTCTGAGTTATTGGGGTCGGAGCGCCAGACCGATGCGTACTGGTCGTTTGGGTTGGTGGGATAGACTGTGCGTGCATATGTTGGGTAGCGACGGCGGAATGATCTCTTGATCTCACCGAGCTGCTTGCGCACGTCAGAGCCTTTGATCCAGCCGCTGCGGTTTGGGAGACGTTCGATTGAACCTGGGGCGTTGCGGATACGGCAGCATCGCTTCTTATCAGTATGAGCCTGTGATGTGTTAGTATATATGTCAGAATGAGACGGCCAGATACGAACCTCGACTTCTGCATCGCGACTGATGGTTGGGTGGTTCGAACTCTTGCTTTGCGTCTTAGGCACCTTGCGCAGACACTTGGAGCAGTACATATCTTCGTCGGGATCAAATTCAGGATCGCTAGGACCGAGCTTCTTCACCCAGTCAGGAGACTTCGCTCGACGACGGAAGGGTCTTCCTGCTTCCTTATTTGGTTCTTCGTCGAAGTCATCAGTCTCATACCCATCATCTTCGTACTGACCATCCTTCTCTCCCTTACGACGAGTCTTCTTGGGCTTCTTGCCCGGCGCTTGTCCTCGGACGTCGCTGCCCTGAGCCTCACTGCCTTGTGCTTCAGTGGAGGAAGCCGCTGCCTCAGGCGTGTTTTCCTGAGCCTCGGTATGTCGTCGCCGACCACGAGAAACTGTAGAAGGGGCTTCGCTATGACTCTCAGCCGCCGATTCGACCTCCTGTGTTACCGCCTTGCGTTTCCCAAGCGCTTTCTTCGAGGGGGGTTTACTGGGGGCAGGCTTTGGAGCAGGCTTCGGGGCGGCAGGCTTCTTGGGAGCAGGCTTCTTGGTCACCACCACAGCGCCAGTTGACTCGTTGGACTCATTCACAACCTCATCTTCTGAAACGACCTCAGTTACCCGCGGAGTCGGGCTTGGAGATCTGCTGTTTGAGGCATTCCGAGTAGACTGCCTTTGGGCACGTGAACGACCTGCAGGTTGTCGCTTGCTAGAACTGCCACGGTCCCCATTGTCATGGACATGGTCATTGTCGCTGTCATTACTGCTCTCATCCTCGTCATCAACATCGGCATCAACATCGACATCGAAATCGTCCATGTCTTCGTCATCATCTGAGTCATCCTCGTCTTGGTTTGTATGATGTTCCTCAATATGACGATCATACTCCTCGATGGTCATACCCCAGATGACCATGCCACACTTTCCGAAGTACTTACACTTCTTGACGGGACGACGCGGTGAGATATGTTGCCCTTCAAGATAAGTCTCTGGTTCGATCACCCGAACGGTTTCTACTACCCCCCTCAACGGGCTCCCGACGTCGTGAGAATAGACCATCTCCGGACGATCCATAATTGGCTGCAGATGTTTCCAGAGTTCATAGATATGGCAGTCCAAGTGCTTCGTACATTCTGCTTCCCCGCGATGGATTCTTCTTTCATTGCCTTCCTCATCTTTACCCATGACTTCAAAAAACGGAAGAGCGCAGAATGGACACTTCATAACCTCTTTTTCCAGATGGCCTCTCGTGAAGTGATCATATAGGCCCCAAGAACCGAGCCAGCTGATGTTATATCCGCACCTTGGGATGGGACAAAACTCTGGAGGATCAACAACAACCACTCGTCCAGTCATGTCGTACCAGGCAAGAGGGTTTGAGAGAGTTCGCGGAGGTTCAGCAAGTTTACGTGCCTTGGATTCCCATAACTTTCTCGAATGTACAAGCTCCCTCTCAAGATGGGCAGGCATTCCGGCTGTTAGTGTCTCTACCGTTGGTGGTTTGTGCGTCCTACTACCGGAGGCGAGGTTTTGCGGTGCTGCACGAGATGATTGCATAAGGCGTTCTAAACGTCGTGGCATACCAGGGTCCGGCACTGTACCGGGTACCATATGAGCCACAGGAGCTGGCTTGCGAGGGGGGGCTGAACGAAGTGCAGTGAAAGGACTGTCAACTTGTCCCAGAGAGAACGTTGGAGCCGATGGGGGTTGAGCAGACCGGGTCTGGGCTGCAGGCCGGGGCTTGCTCGCAGGTTGCTGAGGTGGCTTCGATGGGCGAGGTACTGCAGGCGTTGCCCTATGGACAGGCCCATCCACAATACCCAAGACATCCTTCAGATCCTTAGTATGATTCTCCCGCATGTGCTTCGTCCTCTGAGACTTATTCCACCATTCAAACATTGGCTCATCGCACCAAGGACACATTCGCGATTTATGAGCTTCCAGAGTATGCTTCTTCCTGGCCTCATGATCGTCAGTCCGGCAGGTGAAGTCGCAGTCCTCGAACATGCACCGTATGGAGCGCTTGAGAAGCACATTACGAGTGTTCCAGAGGGTGCGCTGGAGCTTGGCTTGCTCGTGGGGTGTGAGGAGGGCTTTGGAGATCATCGCGGCGTTGCCAGAATCGTCGGTGCGAAGTATTTTCTCTACGGGCGCTGCAGTCAAAGGGATGCCAATATCAGGTGGTTCAGACTCAGCTCTGAGGTTACCAAAGATACTAGGTTGAGAGGCCCATGTGTCTTCTCGGGCCACTCGTGATGCGTTCTCATCGGGTTCCCATGGTGATATGGTTGGAGGACCAGGGCGGGAGGCAGTGGCGTGCTCAGTCCCATTGCCGCCTTCATTGTCGTCGCCATCGTCGCCTCTGTTTGATTCATCACTGCTGTGATCACTGGAGATTGTTATCCCATCCCTTAGATTAGAGGCGTCTTCAGACTCCGAGACATCTCTAGTGTCATCTCCTGAATAGCCATAAATATCATCTTCCGAGTCTGGGCTTTCTGTTCTCTCAACTCGCCGACGGTCTGCGGAATAAGGTTTGTTGGCCCAGTCAGGCCGACTGGTCGCCAGGACACCGACATCATACTCCTGCTCCTCCTCCTCCTCCTCCTCCTCCTCCTCCTCAGCTTCAGATTCGCCATCAAGCGTGGAGGCCTGAGGCAGCGCAAGCTTCGGAGGCGGAGGTACTCGAAGTTTGATATGAGGCAGTATAGGGCTAACGAACGCCCTGGCTCTGAGTTTTGAGAGCTCCTTCTTGTTTTCAGAGCCTGGAGAGCCCAGACTTGCAGGTGCCGAGGGATAATTGGCAGCAGGGTCGACTATTCGATCGTCGAGGTCCCTGATTTTAAGAGTATCACCACCTAGCCGAGGGCGAGAGACATGTAATTCGGGTTTAATTTCACGGACGCCCCAGATGTTGTTGTCCGATATGCATTCTTCCCAGTCAACATCTGACTTTTTGACAAACTCAACTGTTATGTCTGGGGATGTGATGGATTCTCTCACACGATACCAGTCATCGTCGGATGAGTCAGGGCGGATGAGGTACGATGGTGTGTCTCGACTTTGAAGGATGTTGCCACAGGCAGTCTCTTTGAGTAACATGAGGTCCTGGCCCATGGCTCTCATGTACTTAGTCTTGGATACCAGCTTATCGACAGCAGCAAAGAGCTGTTGGGCTGTGGATGTCAGAGGTGGCAACTCGACCGAGATGTCTTGTCCATCGTGCCAAGCAGGGAACAGACGACAGTGTCCAGGGCGAAAATGAGGGTGAGCGGTGTAAAACCAGGCCGATAGATCATGGATCTTCTCGCCAACAACGCGTCCGACGGAATTATTTCTCCCACGAGCATTACCACGTTGCGGGACAACCTCCAGGCCCTTGATGCCTTCCCCATACCTATTTCTTGGGTCCCCTTCGAGGATATACACTGCTTCGAGCTTTCTGCTCGACTCAATGTCAAAAGCCTCTGTAGAAATCTCACAGATCGGGTGGAAGACATTATCAAACTCGTCCCCGTAATTACTGTCATCTTCTAACAAGTGAGGGTTAGGCCTTGGGTAATAGTTGGGAAAGATAAGAGGCACCACAACGGGGTCGAGCCAGGTGCATTCAATCATCCAGCAAGCGCCAGGGTTATTTAGCGGGTGAAGAAGCTCCCAGGCCGATTGCGGCAGACCCATGGCACCGTAAACGATGGGTACGGTCAATGGAGCGTCTGGCTTGTTTCTGTCATAGAGACGGAACAAGGCATGGTTGTACTCGGCGCATCCCGCATCCTTGTAGCCCATAGGTCGACCAAAGATGATATCAGTGGCGGCCCTGAAGTGAGTGTTGTACTGTTGAGATGCATAGTTGCTGGCAACGAAGCGCGGAGTTTTGATCTTGGGAAATGGAATATAAGCGTAACTTATGGCTTCTTCCTCTGGCCCGTTGGGGAAAGCCCCGAGAGAGCGCCCAATCCTGACGGTGTCTGTCTCCAGTTGCTGCTTGGAAGGTTCCCAATGCTCGGCTGTGCCATCTGATTCCTTCTGGACATGATCAATAAAAAGAGTACAGCAATCCTTGTGCCCCTTGTCTTTCGAGTCGTGGGTAAAGTGTTCCTCGAGGAAGAGCATTGCTTTGCTTCCAGCCGACAAGGGTAACTTGTCACGAATGATTTTCCGGTCGCCGGTCTTCTTGTCAATAACATGGAGGTCGAATATGTACTGCCTCTCCCTAATGTAGTCAGGGTGATTATACAATAGTTGTCGTAGAACGAGTGCAAATGATCGCCACTTGCGAGGACGAAATGGCAAGCGCCCATAGAGGCCATAAATATAAGTCCATCCTTCTTCAGGGGTTGCGGGAGTCTCAGTTGAGGGGACGTGGTCATAAAAGACGTGATCACCGCGTTGTGAGCTAGGTCCTTCACCTCCACGAAGACCCAAAATTGGATCGCTTTTCTTTGGGACCGGGACGGGCCAGCTGAAGGCTTCCTTGGCTTGACGCTGTTAGTCGTGTGCTGGAGGTTTTGAAGGTGTTCGTAATAACTTACCTTTCAGGCTATCCTTTCCCCAGTTGCGACGTTCGTGGGCGGTAAGAAAATGCAGTGGTGGTTTGATGTTGTACATCGGGACTTCCTCCCTCATACCAACAGCCATAGAGAGCTCTTTGAGAATGTCTTCCATCGGCGCAATTGGTAAGCCAAAGTACATCATCGTGAGCTTTGTGGCCAAAGAGTCGTCGAAGCCCTTGAAGCGATCATTGAGAAGGGCCTCGTAGCGCTTTGTATTGGCAGCTTGCAATTCCTGCACGTCTGCGCGATCAGATGGCATCAACAGGCGACTCTCATGGTATGTGAAGTTTTCTCGAATGATTTCTTTGATGGGAGCGTCCGACTTCAGTCTCTCAGTGAAGAACTTGTGCTTCTCCACCCAATGTGAATCGTTTGGGCCGACTAGAAGATCGAGGCGTGCCGCGGTAATGTCAGAAGATACATAGTCGAGAGAGGACTCATCCTGGCCCGCAGACGAGAGAATCCCGGTCATTTCCTCCATTTTCGTGAACAGCCATACACTATCACAAGATGAGGTGCTCGTCAAAGGTGGACTGCGAGGGTTACGCTCTGTGTGTATAATGAAAGGCGAAGAAAAGATAGAGAGATAAAGGGTATCAACAAATGAGTGTATGTGAGAGTATTCTGAGAGCTCAGTTGGTGTGGAAAGAACAAGGAAAAGGACATAAAGAGAAAGAGATCATACCGATCAAAAATTCTGGAGGGTTGCAGAGGGTGTTAAATCGCACACCGGGTGCAAGAAGACCCTTTGAGGTAAACCTCTCCGTGGTCGCAATGACCTGGGTGCAATACCATTGTTCTCAGACTAGTATCTCGCACGTACCAGAAGTGGTTTGCCGTGGTGTTGGTAACAAAGAGACATGTCTTTTCTTTGACAAGTTGATGGGTGGTCTGTGACGAAGATCGCCTTTTCTCGGCGTTATCGTTCATCCTTTGAGCTTAGATATCTTGTTTTCGAGAGTTGGCTCAAAGTTCAACATGTTGCGTTGATTCTGAATGCTACGGCAAGAATGATTTCGTTTTATGAACGTTTTCTTGAAACTGTCGCAATCCGTGTGATGCACCGAGACAGAGCAAGAGACCATTGGAAACAAAAACTGTTGGTGGCCTCACGGTCAATCGCCCATCCACACAAAACGTCAACCCCAAAAAGGTAAACAATAACACCTATTGACACAAAATTAGCAACAAGCAGGCCAAAGCTCCAAGCACCTCTCGATCGGGGTGCAATCAAGCCTCTCTCAATCAGAAAAGTTGTGTGCCTGTTCTTTGTCTCCAGCCGGACTTGGTAGGTCCGAAAAGAGGGGAAGCTCAGTCAATGTCAACAAAGAAGTTGGAAATACATGGTGCGTAGAAATAGCAACTGGCAATCATTTATTTGACCTTCTTTGTTCGGAGGCAAATAAAGAGGAATCACGAGAGGGCGATTGGGGGTTGTGAATGAAGTCGTTCATTATGGTATTGTAAGATGCTCTCTTTGTCCCCTTTCGATCTAGGTATCGTATGTCGCAACATCAACCTGACGGACCGATGCGTCCGAACTCATCCAGCATGCTGCTTCACAAGTTCCTCAAGCTTGTCTTGGAAGTCGGCGAAGTAGTTGATGGCCTGGATAATCTTACCTTCACTCGTACCAAAGCCACTTCTGGTGAAAGCCATTCTCCATGAGCTTTCATCCCTAACCAGGGCATTGTAGTCTTTCGTTTCCCAGCTCTTGTTTGTGGGGCCTTGCGCAAAGTATTCGCCAAGTTTGCCATTCCAGGTCGACAATTGAGTCGAAGCGAGGCCATTGAGCAAATTCGGTGAAATCGTCACATGTTGAATTCCGGCAAGCTGCATCACTTCATCCACAGATGTGAGTGATGCCGCCAATAATTGCGTGCGGAATGAATGGTTAATGTAGTAGGCTTGTGCTTCGCGACAAAACTCAAAGGCTTTGTTTTCGTCAACGTAGCTGCGATTGTTAGTATGGCGAGGGCCCTTGGCGAGCCAAACTCACCCAGCTTCGAAATGAACCTTGAGCTCATTGACATATGGCGCAATGTAGGTACACTGGGCCTCGGCAGCCAACGCCGCTTGCTCCATGCAAAACATGGTGGTCGCAAGAGTGGCGATTCCTTTCATCTCAAGAGTTCGACATGCCTGGAGACCTTCCCAGGTTGCGGGGATCTTGATGCACACCCTCTTCTCGTCGAAGTCCGGCGCCAGGTGTTTAAAGATATTCACGATACCTGTATAGTTAGTGAGCGTGGGCAACGTAGATACGAAACGGAAGACTCACGATAGGCGTCACTAATGGTGCCGTCGGTTGAGTAGGACAGCTTTGGGTTGGTCTGAATATGCACGTAGCCTGTGACATTAGGCACGATCAATAGTTGAAGTTTGACCATCTCGTCTGGTTAGTAAAGCTCAATTGCGTCGGTTTCCTGCTGCCATACCAAGATCTGTACAACAAACTCCTCAAACGTCGCGGAACCTTGGAACTCTTTCAGTGCCCCACGGGCACTTTGAATGGCCTCTTTTACCAGAGCATCGTGATGCAAAAGGGGTTCACCAGCAAGCGGTCTCGAGATCTCCGAGAATGCGATTGCCTGAGGAAGGTCAGCACTGCTAGGAGACACGGGCATGGCGAGCTTGCTTACCTGGTTAGATGTGCAATCCACAAAGGGACCCAACTCATGAGCGACTATTTCTGAGTCAGTAACTGAGGCCTGCGATATGTTTGTGGCTCGTACCATTCGAATCAAGAGTATCGCAGTCAACTTGACTGGTCTGGCGAAGAGCGTCCAACAATGTCGTCATGTCAGCGATGTATCAATGCGAATGAGCTGCTTTCTTTGAAGAAATTCGCTGAGAATAAGGAGTCAATTGTGATTTAAATAATACTCTCATCAATCTCGACAATATTTTGCTTTATCATCAAACTCATCGATGGAGTCGTTCTGCTCAAGTAAAGTCACCAAGCCGAGCTGACCCCCACCAGAATTAGAGCCATTCGCTCGGCTTGGCTACCCGAAACGCTTGTTTCTCTCCTGTCATTCGGCTGCAATTACCACGACGAGAATGACGAGGCAAGAGGGGTTTCTCTTCTCTAGGCAGCGCTATTTCCGTACCCCAATTCACTTGAATTGATGGGGTCAAAACTTTCTACGCCAATGTAGAGACGATGCTATGATCATGTGGTGGAAACGCGTGGGTCGAAGTGGCTCTCTGATTGTGAACTTGCTGTGGAGGGAGGCGATTAAGTTGCTACCGGGACTTCCATTCTCGGATATTCCACCCAGAAACGGTCCCAAGAATCTTGTGAGGCTTGAGATTGACCTTGATCAGATCAAACCTTGATGAGATACAAGAAACTCAAAGCCTTTGATTGGTTTTAGCGGCGTTCAATAAGAATTCATGGATTTTGAATGACAGCAAACAACAGGTCGCGGGGTTCTTCTCCAACTGCTCGCGCACGTGATAAGTCACGTTTCCTTCCCCAGGATTCCCCAATCGGGTTATCCTCCATTGCATCAAGAATCTGCTGCGGCATCACAAGTCGAACCACTCCCAGTCAGCTCCCAGCTCCCCCGTCACCGTTCAACCCGGCGTGCCCAGCACCGCCATGAACCCAATCGCAACCTCCACGCCATAATGCGACCACCACGATGTCTCCTCCCCGCCGCGGAGAAGATCCTCCTCAATGCAGCCGCTGCCGCACCCGCCAGCCGACGGTGCATGTCCTCCGCCGCAGCCTTCCAGCCGCCTAGAATAGTCGCTGCCGCTCCGTGGAAGGGCTCTTCGTTTTTCCTCTCGAACAGGTTGTTTGATAGATCGACATGTCTCGATTTTGTAATACTACGGCGTGCCAATGGCATAAGATCGACGTCGGCTTCGGCGGCTACGATATCTTCTACGAATACTGCACAGACGGAGCCGGAACAGGAACTAGCACCGCATCGAAGACGACAGGCTCAACGGAGGGAGAAAGCTGCTGCTGAAGCTGCGGCCGCCGCAGCTCGAGGCGAGAAACCACTTCCTCCCGATGCTTCATCCCTCCTCGCTTCACACGCCGCTTCGCAAACGAGTTCTTTCCGCCGCTACCTCTCCGCATGTCTCTCCCTCTCGAAACCTCGACTAACAATGCTCGTCGTCCTTACCGCTATGGCTACATACGCTTTATACCCCGTTCCCGAAATGCTATCGCCAAGCACGACCGAGACACCGAGTTTGAGTCCTTTAACATTATTATTCCTCACGATCGGCACGACACTATGCTCTTCTAGCGCCAATGCTCTAAACATGCTTTATGAGCCTTCGACGGATGCCAAGATGACACGAACTCGAAATCGACCACTGGTACGCAAGCTCATTTCTCAAAGGGCTGCGGTTCTGTTTGCAGTCTTGGCTGGAGCTTTGGGTACAGGCGCCCTGTATTTCGGTGTCAACCCCACTGTTTCCGGGCTTGGGTTCGCCAATATTGTTATCTACGCTGGAATGTACACACCTCTCAAGGCTGTGACGGCTTTTAATACCTGGATCGGCGCGGTGGTAGGAGGTATTCCTCCTCTGATGGGCTGGGCTGCGGCTGCTGGCGAGACTGCTACAAAGGATGGTTCGTGGCGTGAGCTTTTGTTCTCCCCCGACGGTTCATCCATAGGTGGCTGGGTCATGGCCGGTTTCCTATTCGCATGGCAGTTCCCCCACTTCATGGCGCTCAGCTGGCCCATTCGCGAAGAGTACAAGAAGGCCGGTCTTCGAATGCTAGCATGGACAAATCCCGCACGAAACGGCCGAGTCGCTCTGCGTTACAGCTTCATCTTCATTCCTCTCTGCGTATCTCTCTGCGCCGCAGGAGTAACAGAGTGGTCCTTCGCCGTAACAAGCTTACCAATAAATGCCTGGCTCATCAAAGAAGCCGTGCGCTTCTGGCGGTTCGAGGGTCACCAGGGCAGCGCGAGAAGCCTTTTCTGGGCGAGTGTGTGGCATCTCCCTGGCATTATGATCTTGGCTTTGTTACACAAGAAGGGAATGTGGAGTAGAGTGTGGAGGAGTGTTTTTGGCGAAGAGGAGGGAGAGTGGGAGGAGGAAGAACTGGATGAGATGATGAGCATGGCTGCGGAGAGTGCCAATGGCCAGTTGCAGCACGATAAACCTGTGCGGTGACGTGTAGGATAACGAATGAATATGTAACACCACTTGTATCTATGATGGGAAATAGATCTGTCACATTAGCTTTGCCAACAGTAAGGAACTCACTCATATATCACCACTGTAGATTCAGTTGATAGCAAACCACGAGAGACGAAACACTTGTTCAAAGCGAATGCATAAATAGATTGCAAAAGACAATGCGCTGCTAGATTCTCATGCACCTCATGTCGTGGTATCTCTATCTCTAGTTATACAAAGGAAATGTGCCATGATCATTCCCACTCCTCCTGACCACCATTTTAACAAACAGACAAAGAAAGGATACTAATAAAAACATTAAGCAAGTAACGCCCATAGAGCAAAATATCCTGCGTTATCGTCGTTATAACTGCCTTGAAAGCGCCAAACACCGCGTAAACCCTTGCTGCTCGCCATGCAGTATGCTGGATTATAAGGATTGACAAAAAGAAGGGACGGCGAGGTTGGGTAGAGCCTCCGGTGAGGCTTTGTTGAAGAGTCGTGAAACAAACCTGTAAAAGAGAGAAGGGAGCAAGGTTAAACACCTCTGCCTGGACGGTTAATAAGATTCCCAATGCCCATATCCGAACTCTGCGGTCGCTGCGTCATGTACTGCGGGCTGTTCCCCTGGCTGTGGCCATGATGGCCATAGGGATGACCTGCACTCGCTTGGGAGCTCACGCTCGAGGAGTATCCGTGGCCGCCGTAGCCTGGCGCATAGGCTCCGAGGCTGTACTGGACGGCAGCGGCCATGTGGTGAGGCTGGAGCTGCTGGAAGGACGTGTTGGCCGAGGCCACGACGGACGAGGCGGTGGTCTCGGGGCTGCTATAGGATGCGTCTAGTTCGTCAACCGGTGTCAGGCCCATGCCGGAGATGCCGCTGTCGTCGTCATACCCTGAGAGAGCGCCGGACTCGAGACGGTCGCGGCGGGCTGCGGCGCGGGCTGCGCTTTGCAGATTTTTGAGGCCATTTGACATGCACTGTAGAGTATGTTAGTAGGTGTTCTTAACAGAGTGATAAGATGACAACGGACCTTGGCTTCGACTACGTTCCACTTCTCGCCTGTTCGAGCTGCGAGACCACTCCAGATCTCCTTTCTCATAGCCATGTACTCCTTAGCCAGACGCTGAAGCTTGAGATTGTCCCAGTCATCAGCACCCTTGCGTTCCAGCAATCGCTCATGACGCTTGCGGCAGGCATTGGGAGTCTTGGAGGGGAAATAGTTCGATTGGATCTGTTGCCAGTTCAGACCTTGCATCCTCGCAGTGAGGAGTTGCTGGTCATCTGCAGCTCCCCAGGCACCCGAGCTGGGTCTAGTCTGAACAGGGGCAGGGACGGAAACAGGCGGCGCTGAGGTTGTAGCGTAGGATTCGTACGTATGTTGTTGAGGTTGTGACTGGAGAGGCATAGAAGAAGAAGCAGTGGTTCCCATGCCGTAGTAGTTGGGCATGGTCATGCGCTGCTGGTTGTACAGAGGGGACGGGGCGAGAGAGACTGGGATACCCGCATTGTAGCGGTTTTGAGATGAGCTCGTAGCTCGAGAGTGTTTCGGCATCATGGAGAAAGAGTAGTGGGGGTGTAGAAACGAGAAGTGAGGGGATTCACAAGGTGAATCCTGTAACAAGATTACGGATTAAGCGTAGAAAGAGGAATAGGTCCGGGTCAACCGGCTTGGTAATGCTTGATCGGTCTTGAAGATGACGGCCCAAAAAGAAAACGGATCCTCGTCCAAGCGAGAAGTCCAAGTGTAGTATAGTAGTAGAGAGAGGGTCAAGGAAAACTAAAGCACGACGGGTCAAGAAGCGACAGATGAGATAGCGCCAAGATAGAACCACAACGAGAGAAGAAAGGAAAAATTGAACCTAGGAAAGATGGAAAAGTGATGTTTTGTCTGAAGAATGGAGAACAGGTCCTTAGAAGGCCGGATATGAAGCAGCTTTAAGGTCTCGAGGAGAGGACAAAGACCAATCTCAAGGTGGGCGGCTCTGGGACTGAAACAAGATCCAGAGACAATGAAACAGCACACTCGTGTCTGAAAGAAGCAGTTTCTCATGAATGGGTTGCTGATATTGGCTCAGCAAAGCGGCTGTTTGAAAGAGCCATGGGCGGTTAAGAGAGTGGGCGGTTACAGTCGAGATGGAGATATCTTGGTGGAGAGAGAGGTTCATCCGTACCACCAAGTTTGAGCAAGCGCCCTAATTCCCAGGGCGTGTATGTGCACAAGCAAGAAAAGATGTTTAAGCTAGAAAGCTAAAAGCAGGAACACAGATCTCGAGAACCACCCGATTTGCATATGTGGATGATTCATGACGGCGCCTGGGGAAATTACAACGGGGTTTCTGCATGGTGTGAGCGCAACACAAGCGCGGGAAGGAAAACAAGGGTGCGCGTCATAGTTGTACCGGCAGATGAAACAAAGACACAAGTTGAGTGAGAGCAGAGAGAGAGAGACAGAGACAGAGACAGACGATACAAAGGGCTTGGTGTTGAGAAGACTCCAGAAATAAGGTAGTGTGGATATGAAGGGGGCCGTGTAATTGGCCACGGGTGTTGGAGGCGCGCGTTTAAAGTATTAGGCGACGCCAGTAGTGGTTTAGTGTGTCTATTTTGGGAGGTCTGGGGTTGTCTGATTGGGAGATGTACTGCCGCTTGGAGATTGGGAGAGGAAGTACAAGAATGGAAGAAGAGCGCTTGGAAGGGTCTTGAAAGAGGTCGCTGGGCGTGGAGAGAGGCAGATGGCATGTTTCAGGTTGTTCTACAACAGATGACATGACATTGTTGTTTTTCTGCGTGTTGAAGGATGATAAGATAAGATGTTGTTCTGATCCCGGTAAAAGGCTTGTCCCCTTCACTTCATCCGTGTTAGTCGTTTCCCACGATCATTAGCAGTTTAGCACTGTAGATTCCACTAAGACAGGCGACGCTAGCTCCAGCTAACATTGTTCAAAGCATGCATTCATCTACCTAATAGCAAAGTGAATTCACACAGATCCTCAAACCATGATCTGACGGTTTTCTTTTCTTTCCTTGTCTCACCTGGATTGAAACGATTCGATACTGCCGGGTTGCTGGGGAAATGAAATTGGTGGCTGATTATTTATAGGGGGTAGAATGCTGAAAGTTGTCTCACTCAGTTGGTACCGTAAGGTAGGTAGGTAGCAGGCAGCAAGCCTACCTAATGAGGGGGACTTGCATCCATGAACTTGACTCTTCTCCAAAAAAGCTCGCCAGCACAATCGCGAGCGCGCAATGACTTTCGCGACGCGCCGAAGTCTTCGCCGCTCGCAGACCATCGACTATGATGAACTCGCCGACACAAAAATCGGGCTTGCCTCGATGCTTCCCTCCACTCAGCCAAAGCGACGGGGACGACCGCCAAAGTCGTCAACCTCCGTATTACACAGAAAGCTTCCTGGCTCCAAGCCTCGTGGACGGCCTCCCAGTACTGCTCCTCACATAATGACCGACGAACGCATCGCGTTGAAGCTGGGCTGGCGACTGCGGACATCCGTGAAAATGGGAAAGCGAGTCGGCGATGCCGCTCGATCGGTATACCTTCTTTCGCGCCAGTGGCCATGGGACTTGGTCGCAGGCTTCAAACCAAAGAGATGGGGCATTGAGATTCTGGAGAGTATGAGGAAACTCTTCAGAATTATCCATCGAGTCTTCACAGCGGATGAGCATCGGAACGACTTTCAGTTTGTCAAGAATTATCTGCGCGGATGCGCGATGAAGCGCGATCGACGGCGCCCGCAATTGAAGAACTGCGATATCGAGGACGCATGCGATTATTTCGCTGTCGGTGATAATGCCAGACGCGATACTGCACACGCAACAGTGACGGGATTGAAGCGCTCAATCAGCACGGTCGTGCAAGAAGACGAGGATGGGTGGCTAGACTTTACAGGCATAGGCATTGACCTTTTTGATGACGAGGATGAGGATGATGAATATGTCGACATTGCTACTCCTACAAAGCGATCAAGAACACCGTCGTCACCTCCGTTGAGCCCGAAGCGAGCACGAACGGCGGACCCTACCGAGACACGCCAGCAGACCATCACTGACATCACCAACTCATTACGATCATTGCACGCCCAAAAGCAAAAAGAGTTCGAAGAGGTAACGGATTCCCTGGACAAGATTGCAGTTTCAATCCAGACAAAGGAAGTCACTCAAATGAACCACATCAACGCAAAAGTTGACAAATTAACATCCGACGTGAAGGCCTACGAATCTGAACGGGAGAAGATCCTCAAAGTTCGAGGAATCGTGGAACAGCAACACAAAGACATGAAAATGAAGGCAGATCATCTCCTACAGCATTACACGTCGCAAGTTGAGGAATACGACAGATTAATTGCGCAGGCAAACGATGATGTCTTGGAAGAGCTGGATCGGATGGGGCACGGGGATGGTGGCCTGGAAGATGAGGAGAAGAGGCTGGAAGGACGTGTGAAGGAGGTTCTGGAGGAGGTTAGACATTGCAGTGTTGTCGAGACGTTGGTGAGGTTGGGGCCTGGCGGGATGGCCAAGCTGTTGGGGAGACTGGAGGGGAATGGTGTTGAGTTGGTTGAGATGGCGGAGAGTATCATGAATGAGGCTGAGGAATAGCATAACTCTGTTTATGTTGATCCTTGTGCATCTCGTGCCAAGGTTGGTGATATGCAATGAATCTTCGCTTATCGCGGCATCTCCAAAAATGCAGCTCTCTTGAGATTCGGTCTGCACAGTATCATGGACACTGTATTCAACATTCAGCACCCCAGCCAACTCAAGCCAACTCAAGCCCGCCCACAAAATACTCCATAACTTGTCTCTTCTCTCCCCCTATTCCCGTCATATTTTGGTGCTTCGCTCAGGCCTCTTTTCTTATCATTCTTTCTTTTCTTTTTCTCAGTCCGCTAGTGTCACTTACCAAATGATCGCCGACTTCTTCCTCCAATAGCTACAAGCTGGTATCTGTTGAGAGGGATATGTATGTATTAACTGTGGCTAACTAAGGTCTTAGGCCAGGAGGTCTGGCTAATATATAAGGTAGGTGCCTTAAGTACCTTTAATACTACCCCTTAGCCAGGCTATAATAGCGCTATAAGTAAAGCTATTTATAAGATAATAATTGCCTTTTTTTTTATTTTTTTAGTATTTTTTATATTAATAATACTTATAGATTAAGCTATTAGATAAATTAGCTATA